TGTTTGCCACCCGTCGGCGAACCTAGTCAGGGAAAAACCCCTCGACGAAAACAAGAATAATAAATAATAAATACATTATTTTCCCAGAATTTTGGAAGGATAGTATTTTTATAGTAATATTTTAATAAAAGAAAAGCGGGTAAGTGAAAATTGATGTTTGCCAGTGCAGCTTCCGCATCATGATATCTGGCTTTACAGCGCGGAACTCTCATGTCTTTCCCTAATATCTCACTGCAGAAACCTGAATTATATTGCACCGTGGGGGTGATCGAGCAAAGTTTTTTTTTTTTTTTAGCTTTTCTTGTTAGTCATGTCTTAATCATACAAAGGCAGTTTATCAAAATCTCATATGCCCTAGAAGTTGCATGAAAATCGCGGGATCATGTTAGCCTTAAATTTCCAGTATCCCATTTAACTATAACAGGTGGAGATGAATAAAGCTGCAGATTAGCTAACGTAATGAAATTCTTAGTTTTCAAGAAAGAAACTTATAACGACACATTTTGCCTGACCTGGCTCGCGTTTCTTGCTTAATAATGAAGTCAGAGTAAGAAAGTTGGGTCTTTGACTCTTAGAATACGTATACAACGTAAATAAAATTTTACCCAACGTTCTTTAAGATTTTTGTTTTTCCCGGCCAAGAATTAAATTATCATCACTAAATGATGGCTCAGTTGGACAGTTTTCTCATGATTGAAATACGGATAAGTTAAGTAAATGAAGAAAAATACCTGAAAAAAATTTGTGCGGACGAAATCTGCGGTTCCTCTGTTCTCTAGCAAGAGTTGGCTCCTTTCGACTTCCTTTACCAACTTTGACAGCGAAAACAAATACTTGTGGAGACGTACATCTCATTTCATAGTCGTAACCGCATGTCTTCCTAGATTACGTCAATCTTACGTCTGTGGCGGTGTACTTATTTCTCGGTTAAAGGGGTTTTCCCTTGGGGTCTGTATTTATTTTGCAAGTTTCTTTAATTTTGTGCTGTGGTCATGAAGCAAATCTATCGAGGCTAATAAATACCCTTTAACTCTTTCGGTGTTACTGGTGAACCGCACAATTGCGGACACGATTTCTCCGTCAAATGCTGTCAGGGTTCCCTTGGAGCACAATATACGTTGATCGAAGATAGCTGTCTGATATGACTGCACCGATATAAAAAGATGTTTCAATTACGAATCAGTGACATCAGCCAAAGGCAATCAAACTATTTATTAAATCTGATTTATAATCCTGAAAAAAATTCTTAATGTAATTTGTGTTGAAATTGGAAATCGGTGAGAGAAATAGGGCATGAAATTTGTATAGTACAACTCTAATATGATGTCATCCGGCACCGTCAAAACAATGACATCACCTCTGTTACAGGACTTATCTTCCCGATTTTGAAGATATATGGAAAGTTAATGAAAGCTCAATAAATATCCGATCAATAGGCTTTTAAGGTTCTAAAACATTCTAAGTGTTTACCTTTAAGAATGCAACATGATGAATAACCAATTTACTAATAAGCTTTTCCGGCATTTAGAAAGATAAATATTAAAAGTGTGCTTTTTAAGAATGGAACATCATGTCTCCTGACTTGATGTCCCTCGGAAAATACTTATCTTTTAATGGACACTTTTAGTAATTTACGAAGGAAATTTGCGTTTTAAGGCTGGTGTTTGTTGACAAAGTTGTCCGAGTTTAGGTATTGATTAATTAAAGGTAGGAAGTTTTGTCCCATCTATTTATCTTGTTTCCACATTTATGAATGTGGGAGTTGTCCTTTGTTTACCATTAACGAAGCTTGTTTCTTTGAGTTTTACCTTTAAAAGGTCCAAACAACTTTACTTAGTTAGTTTTCCTTAGTAGTTATTCTGCTCCAGAACTGAAGAAAAGCTTTTCAAAGAAATTTTAGGTTACGAATTAATCGTATGCTAATTAGAACGTAAATGTATCCTACGCATTATTATTAATGTAAACATATTATGGACAACCAAACAAATAAATAGAGAGCCGTTGAAAAGTAAGCTCTTAGAAGAAGGTGTAAGCAGTTATAGAAAAAGAGTAAGCAAGAGAACTGCCAAGAAGGTTAACTTGAAGAAGGACTTTGCTAAGGAAGTTGAAGAATTGTAAAGTGAAAGAGTAAGTCGCTCAGAAATAAAGTATATAACCTAGTACTTATTTGGTTTTGAGAGTCACTGCCGCGCATCTGGAGCAACCGGCGGTATCACCTCACTCGCGAGGACGAACGATTCCGCCATCTACACAGGCAAGGTAAAATTGTCCTATGCTTCATGCTGGCTTTCAAGATTTATATTATGAACCGGCTCTGCCCAAAGCGGTCTTCGATCTCTGTTAGAAACAATTAACTTCTACTACGTGATTTTATCCTTTGCAAGACTATAAAACGGTCACCGATAGTACCAAAAACAGTAGCTGTCGACGGCTACAACTTGATCTGTCGCACCATCTGTCACGAATTAGCCCGCGTGCCGACGTCTCATATTTCCTTTTTTGCACGCGAAAAAGAAACCTTTTCTGCGTGCAACAAAGGAAATAGGAGACGTCCACACGCAGGCTAGTCACGAATAGGCTTCGCTAAAGTAGCATAATTCTACTTGCATCGCTCGTATATTTCTCAAAAGTAAGCCAATAGTTATGCTAGTTTTTGTAAATTGTACCAATTTAGCTAAAAAAAAATAAGGCAGAAGTTATGCTTCCATTTTTTGAATTTAAATTTGTTAATAACACTGCATCAACTAAGCAGTAAACAAGTGACTAAGCTGAGCGTAATTGTCCACGTTAAATAAAGTATCAGTATCAGTCACGTCATCGTGAACCACAAGACCAACTGATTACAACATTCACGTGACTACTGAAAAAATCAATCACGTGTCTTCTGATCTTTTGGTCAATGTTCTTTTTTCCTGACCTACAACCTTCTTTGCGTGTAAGGGCTTAAAGCAAACCCATAACACTTGTAGTACCCTCTTCAGAAAATTTGGTTTGGACTCCTAGAAGTGACATTAGACAGATGAAGAAATGAAAACGCGACAGTAATGAAGAAATCGCGCGCAGACCTGAAAACGAGCTTCACCTATGGCAGAGCCGGAAATTAAACACCGGAAGTCGCATTCTGTCCTTTTTGCTCTCGTTCGCCTTCGCCTTTCTAAATCCATGTATAAATTTAGGATGGATTCAGTTGGAACAGTTTATTTCAGCTATGTGTGTATTGTGCAAATGAATTAAAATTGGATTGCATTAACCCTGTTCTGGACCGGACTTTTTTTTTTCTTCCTGCGACCGGAGGGGGGGAGGTAAGGGGGGCTTTGGAGGCTCCCCCTATAACTTCAAACTACTCATGATACTGCCATAAAAATTACATAGAATGTACTTATCATTTCCAACATCTAGGCATATCTTGATGACCCAATTACGACATTTGACGTCATTATGATGCCATATCATTGAATTTATTGGTAGAATCCAAATTCCCCACAAAATCGCCATGAAGCGAAAAATACTTAAATGGTAAGGTGTCTGGTAAAATCAAGTAGTTGTGTAACACATGAATTAACTTTAACAATAGTACTGATTTCATAACGTAATTTATTACTGTTAATATTATTATTGACGAATAATAATAAATAATTAAATTACCTATATAGCGCCTATACTTTTCAGTACTAAGTGCTTTACAATGCTTTGAAAAGGTCCAGATAAAAAATTAAAATCCTAGAATCATTTACACATAATCCTTAAATAGTCACAAAAATGCACAAGAAAAACCTTTGTTTGTAAACTCTCTTAAAAAGAGAGATCTTCAATTTACATTTAAATTTATTTACATCATCAGGAGCCCATCAAATGGTGATGGGCTCCTGACATCATCGATCGATCTAATGTCAATAGGCAGATCGTACCAGAGTATAGTATGAGGGTATATCTATGACAAAATTCAGTAACCTAAACGTGAAAAGGGTTAGGTCAAATCTGAAACATACCTAGTCAAAGTTGGTAAAAAAAAGACCACGCTAAAAGGAAGAAATGCTAAAAGCCACTATCATATAGGTATCACGCAGAAAAAGGAATCACGCTAAAAGGCAACACGCAAAGAGGCATCACGCAAAGAGCCAACACGCAAAAAGGTATCACGCAAAGAGGCAGCACGCAAAAAGGCATAACGCAAAGAGCCAACACGCAAAAAGGCATCACGCAAAGAGGCAGCACGCAAAAAGGCATAACGCAAAGAGGCAACATGCAAAAAGGCATCACAAAAAAGGCAATTTGCCAAAAGGGCATCACGTGAGAAGTTTACTTAGGATCCAGGCCTGGATCTTAAACAGTATTATTTAGTACATACTAGCGGTTCTTCGTACAGCGTTATCAGTAGTGGAAAATCGGCGTCAATCTGAGGATGATCACACCATATGGGGGATATCCTCAGATTTACGGCAATTTTGCTTGCAGTATGTACTAAATAATACTGTTTAAGATCCAAGCCTGGATCCTAAGTAAACTTATCACGTGATGCTCTTTTTGCAAATTGCCCTTTTTTACAAACTGCCTTTTTTGCGATCCCTTTTTGCGTTTATGTATTTTTGCGTACTGCCTTTTTGCCTGTTGCCTCTTTGCGTACTGCCTTTTTGCGTGTTGCTTCTTTGCGTGATGCCTTTTTGCGTGTTGGCTCTTTTCGTGATGCCTCTTTGCGTGTTGCCTCTTTGCGTGATGCCTTTTTGCGTTGTTGGCTCTTTGCGTGATGCCTCTTTGCATGTTGCCTTTTAATTTTAGCGTGACGCCTTTTTCTGCGTGATACCTCTATGACAGTGGCTTTTTTAGTATTTCTTCCTTTTAACGTGGTCCTTTTTTTACCAACTTTGACTTGGTAAGTTTCAGATTTGACTTAACCCTTTTCACTTTTGGGTTATTAAATTTTGTCATAGATATACCCTCATAGTATAGGGGCAATGACTGAAAAAGCCCTATGTCTTTAAGTTATAAAGTTTAATAACAAGACGCCACTTGCATTAAGATGAGCGAAGGCACCTCGCAGGTTCATAAACATGGACTAGGTCAATCTTAAAACATACAAGATTAATCTTACAGTTTACACTTTGCTCCCTTAGCAGCCAGTGCAACACCTTTCGAGTATCGCTAATATGATCAAACTTACGCAAGCAGGCAATCACACGCAGAGTATCAAACCACACCTACATTGTCTTAAATAAAACTTTCTAATTCTACCAATCTTCTCCTTTCAGTTTGTTAATAGCTTCAGTAAGCATCTTGTTACACATTGCAGCATAAGGATTCATCTGTACAACCACTGATTTAGCAAAGGCGCTGCCTAACGCTGCAGCCTTTTCGAAGTCTTCTCGTGCTCTGTCCTCCTCTCCATTCAGCCTATGGATCAAGCCTCGCTGTGTGTAGGCCTGTGCTGCTGCAGTCCCACGGCCTTTAGCCAAGTCAATTGCTTTGTTCAAGTCTTCTAATGCACGGGTTACATCCCCTAAAAGAGATATCGGTCAATACAGTACGTCCTCAAAGATATACCTAAAGTGCCCATAACCTAAAAATTTTTATTTCTTTAATTGGAAGTATATACTTAGTTACGAGAACCTCTGGGAACATTTTTCGACTTTTATATAACATGATTTTTGAACGTGTTCAAATTTGCCGCATTTTAGGAAGTAGGTATGGATTTCTAGAAACATTTCGTCCATTTGACAAACTGAAAACAAGCCAGTAAGATGAGTTTCAGTGAGACGTAACAATACTGAGGACCCTAAGACAGAGATAAGCACGCATAAAGTCCCGTTTTTTAGTTCTTGAATTTATGTCTGAAGAAGTCACAAATGGGCCTGTCAATTTCATGGTTAGCGGAACAGCAAAATGCAAAATTGTTTCGAGAAAGTTCTTGTAGTAAGGTGTTAACATAATAAAATTTATTAGGTTATTGGCACTTTAATTTCTTCATGTACACCTTAATCATTAATGTAAACAAGCAAAACTAGAACAGACCTTGTGCGACTCAATGTGGGTATCTCCGACGAAATCAAAATGGGAACGATCGTAAACCTATTTTGGTGGTTGCTTGAGATCGCTAGTAACGACTTAACACGCAAAACAATTCTTGATATGCGACGATATCGTTGAAAAACCGACGATTCGATGGAAAATGTTCGTCGAAAACGAAGTCCGCAAGTACCCAGAGAGTGGCTCCCTTGTGTTCAAAACAAGGATGAAATAGTATAACATAACCCGCATAGCTTGCCTTAAACAGAATGTCATGAAACGAAATAGAGCACAAAATGTTTGACTTGATCTACTTCTGCTCTTCGCAATACGCAAAGGCGATTCATTTGCTAACCTCCTTGCGTCATAAGAGGGCTTAAGAACGAGAAAAAAATGAAAGGACGCGACGGACGCGCCTATCGTCCACCACGCGCTGGCTATTTTTAATTATTACTATTTTATTGGATTCCAGCCGGAGTCTATGCGGAGGAGAGAGTTATCAAGGAACGAGAGGAGTCCAATTCGGTCGGTAATCCTAGGGGTATTCCCTACAATGTCCTATACGGGAAGAGAGGCTCGAATGGCGTACCTTTTTCAGGCTTCAGGTATATAAAAGGGTAAGGGGTTAGATTATGGGGCGGGCCTCTCCGTATAAAATTTTGTCGAGTATGCCCGCGTCCCTGAGTCTGTAATCGTATGAATGATTAACAAAATCCGACGATCGCCAAGGGGGAGTTTGATTTGTTTAATCAAAAGTAAGATTTGTTAAACCACAAACGCAAGTAAGATTGGACAAAACGAAGTTCTGTTTCCAATTTTATACTACTACATGAAAAATTTCTGCAGTTTGATTGGCTTAGAGCAGTGGTATTTCAGCTTAATTTGAAATACCTACATGTGCAAATTACAAACCTTTCGCGGGTAGTAGTATAAACAAATAATAGCATGATTTGTACGTGATTTTTTGCATAAATACCACTCGTTATATTTCAAAATAGTCCCAAATTTAACTAGCCTAAAGGCTCGTGAAATTACGTATAACAATTTCGAAATATCACTCGTGGTATTTATGCCAAATATCACTAAAAATCATGCTATTACCTATACAAACATAACTATAAGGACATTTGTGTTAAAAGTGTGTTTGGGTGACTAGGGTGACTAGTCTAACTTAGATGACATGGGTAACAACAGTGACTAAGGTGACTAGGGTGACAAGGTTGACTACGGTAACTTGGGTGACTTGGGTGATTAGGGTGACTTGGGTGACTTGGGTGACTAGAGTGATTAGGGTAACTTGGATGACTAGGGTGACTAAGGTGATATACCATTCCAAGTTTAGGAATGTCTATTTTTCTTTAGTTCACCTGAACAACGTACTTAGCTCTTTAGCTTGTACTCGATTACGCGATTATACGACTGTGAGATGGACGCATTGTTCGGTTGACAAACTTACATGGCTTGCTGACAAGAGCACTTGTTACTTACTAATAAAAACCAAGAAGGACATGACGTACGTTTATTGAAGAACTGGACTCGGAACTCATTTGTTTGCAACATGCAGAACGCTTGACGATGTCCCTAATTGGCGTATCAAGATATTTGTAAGGCGGAATGAAATGGCAACAAACGTAGAACATGGCCGTACTAAGCGTACTAACGTACGAAGGCCGAATAGAACACGGAACATAGAACACGACCTTACTGACCGTACTAATGTGACTTAGGCGGAGTGAAATACCAACATACATAGATCATAGCCATACTAAGCGCACTAACGTGACTTGGGCGAAATAAAATACCAACATACACCGTAGAAGAAGGCCGTACTAAGCTTACTAACGTACTAAGACCAAAAAACATAGCAACATATACATAAAACATGCCTGTACTAAGCGTACCAACATACTAAGACAGAATAAAATACCAACATAAATAGAACATGGCCGTTCTATTTGTACTAGCGAACTAAGACCACCACAAAATACCAACATATACATAGAACATGGAAGTACTAAAAGCAAATAAAATACCAACATACAAAACACATAGCCGTACTAAGCGTAATAATTTATTACGACGAACAAGAGCAAAGCGGAATAAAGTAAGAACATACATGGAATATGGCCGTACTAACGTGACAAGGATGGAATAAAATACCAACGTAAGAGAATATGGCTGTACTAAGCGTATTAGCTAGCATACTAAAAAGAATAGAACATGCAACACTTTTATTACAAAGTGCGATAGGCATAACAAAGTGCGACAGAACATACATGCTCAGCGCACTTGAAGTCAAGAGCTTTTAAATCCCCTAAAAAGCCGAGATTTTTCCCCAGATTTCGGAAACAGTTCTTCATTAGTTTGCTCAATATATCAACTAACATTTATATGCAATTGAAAAAATTAAGTGCGAACTTTACTGTTAGTGCCGCCTTAAAAGGAGCGTGGTTTCGTTTTGTCGTTGGTCTCTCTTATCCTTTCTTGAAGGACAGGGGAAAAAATTGTCTTGTTTTTCGTCGTCGTTCGATTGTTGTGTTGTTAACAGACTGAAAATTAGATGCAGAATTTTAATACAGGAAACATGCCTTTCTCCGGATTTATATTGAATGATAGACATGCTAGGCAGCAGCATGCAAAAGTATAATACAGGGCTACCCTTCTCGCTTCGCTCGTCGGGTGATGCCGTATTATACTTTTCCATGCTGCTCGTCAGGATCCACACAAGCGTGCAAGAAGGGTTCGTCTTCTGTCAGGCGCTCATACGACGGAGGAACGGCGACGCGCGGCGCTCACACGGAGCCGAGGTGGTCCGTATCGAAAGCGGGTTACCCGTGGGATTTTTGCAGGTTGTGGGGGGACAGTCTTATCGAGGCGAAAAAACAGCCAGGGCTACCAACAATTTCAGCGACTATTTTGTGCTCCTTGTAGACCAAATACGGTCTAAAACTTATTGTACGTCTTATATGAGGGGCCACTTCATATTAAACAAATGCAACGAGATATGTCTAGGATTGAACGCAGTCGCGAAATCTTTTTCGCAGTTTCAGCAATAAATGATTCACAAGAAAACTTTGTGAGACACTTACTTGCAAATATCGCATATCTCGAGGCCCTTCTTTGCCTTTGTCATTAACAAGCCTATAATTTATTTACATTTGTTATTCTTGCTATTTTTGCGAAATTTGCAAGTGTCTTACAAAATTTTATTCAGTTCCGAATTTTTTCTGAAGGGCCTTCTTGACCTTTGTTCTTTATAACTATAAACTTCTGCTAAATTCGTTACTCTTGGTATTGATTCGATATTTGTTTACGTGTTTTCTTTTTCCAATTAAAATTCTTTTTACTTTTGCGATGTTTGCAAAAATTGTAGACTTTTAGAAGGCCTTCTTTGCAACACTCCTTTATAAGTGTGAACTCTCGCTTAATTTGTTATTCTGGCGATACTTGTTAGCGTTTTTTGTTGTTGTTGCTATTAATATTACAAGAAAAATTTTTGTTACTTTTTCCATTTTTGCGAAATTTGCGGACTTCTATACGGCCTTCTTTACCTTTTTCTTTACAAATCTGAATTTTAGCCTACTTTGTTATTCTTGCCATATTTATCAGAGTGATTTTTTGTTGAAATTAAAATTCTTGTTACTTTTTAGATTTTTGCCGACTTCTTCAGATTTCTGCAAGCAGTTTCTATTAATCATGTTTTTGCTACACATGTTGTTGCAAAAATTGCGACAAATATTTGCTGGCAAATTTTTGCTACACCTTGCAATCCTTGTTAAATTTCTTGTTCTTGGTATATTTTCTATTTCCTCTAAATATACATTTCTAAAAGCAGTTTTCTTTAAATATTTTTGGACAAAATTGCCAAAAATATTTGCTAGCAAATTTTGCGACTGTTTTCAATCCTGGACATCACACAGGTGCAACTTGGTGCACTTTGGTGAAGTTAGGTACAACATGGTCCAGATTGGAGCGGTATGGTTTAGACTTGTTAAGTTTGGTGCAAAATTGGTGTAGAATGCTGCTGTGATGCAGTTAGGTACAACTTGGTGCAGATTAGTAAAATTTAATGCAGATTGTTGTAGATTGCTGAAGTCTGGTGAAGAGTGGTGTAGTTTGGTAGAGTTATGTGCACATTGGTGCAGTTTGGACAAACTTGGTACAGATTGGTGCATCTTTGCATTTGGTGCAGATTGGTGCATATTGGTGTAGTTTGGTGCACCTTGGTGCAACTCAGTGCAGTTTGGTGCAACTCGGTGCAACTTGGTGTAATTTGGTACATATTAATGCAGTGTGGTGCAACCTGGTGCAGTTTGGAGCAACTTGGTGCAGTTTTGTGCGACTTGGGGCAGATTGGTGCATCCTGGTGTAACTTGGTGCAGTTTGGTGCAACTAGGTGCAACTTGGTGCAGTTTGGTACAGATTGGTGCGATGTGGTGCAACGTATTGCAATTTGGTGCCACGTGGTGCAGATTGTTGCACCCTGGTGCAACTTCCTGCAGTTTGGTACAGATTGGTGCAGTGTGGTGCAAATTGGTGCAGATTGGTGCGGTCTGGTGAAACTTTGTGCAGTTTGGTGCAGATGGTGCATCTTAAAGAATATTGGTGTAATTTGGTGCAACTTGGTGCGGTCTGGTACAGATTAATGCAGTGTGGTGCAACTTGGTGCTGGGTGCTGATTGGTCCAGTTTGGTGCAACTTGGTGCATCTTGGTGTAGTTTGGTGCAACCTTGCGCACTTTGGTGCAACTTGGTGCAGATTGGTGAATCTTGGTGCATCTTGGTGCAATTTGGTGCAGTTTGGTTAAACTCGGTGCAAATTGGCGCAGATTGGTGCATATTGGTGTAGTTTGTTGCAACTTGGTGTACTTTGGTGAAACTCGGCCCAACTTGGTGCAGTTTGGTGGAACTCAGTGCAACTTGGTAGAGCTTGGTAGAGATTGATGCAGCGTGGTGCAACTTAGTGCAGAATGGTGCAGTTTGGTGCAACTTGGTGCAGTTTGGTGAAACTCCGTGCAACTTGGTGAAGATTGGTGCATCTTGGTGCAGTGTGGTGCAACTTGGTGCAGTTTGGTGCAACCTGGTGCAGATTGGTGTATCTTGGTGCAACTTGGTCTACACTGGTGAAACTCGGTCCAATCTGGTGCAGTTTGGTGGAACTCGGTGCAACTTCGTGCAGCTTGGTAGAGATTGGTGCAAGTGTCTCACAAAATTTTATTCAGTTCCTAATTTTTTTTGAGGGGCCTTCTTGACCTTTGTTCCTTATAACCTGATTGGTTCACTGTGGTACAACTTGGTGCAGATTGGTGCGGTTTGGTGCAAGTTGGTGCAGATTGGAGCATCTTGGTGCAACTTGGTGCATATTGGTGCATATTGGTGCATCTTGGTGCAACTTGGTGCAGTTTGGTGAAACTCGGTGCAACTTGGTGCAGTTTGGTACTGACTGGGACAGTGCGGTGCAACTTGGCGCAGAATGGTGCCGTTTGGTGTATCTTCGTGCAGTTCGGTGAAACTCGGTGCAACTTGGTGAAGATTGGTGCATCTTGGTGCTGTGAGATGCAACTTGTGGCAGATTGGTGCAGATTGGTACAGTGTGGTGGAACTTAGTGCAGTTTAGTGCAACTTGGTGCAGTTTGGTACAGACTGGTGCACTGTAGTGCAACTTGGTGCAGACTGGAGCATCTTCGTGCAACTTGGTGCATTTTGGTGCATCTTGATGCAACTTGGTGCAGTTTGGTGAAAATCGGTGAAACTTGGTACAGATGGATGCATCTACGTGCATTCTTGTGCAAACGTGGTGCAGATTGGTACAGATTGGTGCAACTTGGTGCAGATTAGTGTATCTTGGTGCAACTTGGTACATATTGGTGTAGTTTGGTTCAACTTGGTCTACTCTGGGTAAACTTAATGCAGTTTGGTGGAACTCGGTGCAACTTGGTGCAGCTTGGTAGAGATTAGTGCAGTGTGGTGGAACTTGGTGCAGACTGGTGCATCTTGGTGCCACTTGGTGCATATTGGTGCACTTTGGTGCAACTTGGTCCAGTTTGGTACTGATTGGGGCAGTGTGGTGCAACTTGGTGCAGAACGGTGCAGTTTTGTGCAACTTGGTGCAGTTTGGTGAAACTCGGTGCAACTTGGTGCAGACTGATGCAGTGTGGTGCAACTTGGTGCGTCTTCGTGCACATTGGTGCAGTGTGGTGCAACTTGGTGCAGATTGGTACAGATTGGTGCAGTGTGGTGTAACTTGGTGCAGTTTGGTGCAACTTGGTGCAGATTGGTGTATCTTGGTGCAACCTGGTGTGTATTGGTGTAGTTTGGTGCAACTTGGTCTACTTTGGTGAAACTCGGTCTAACTTGGTGCAGTTTGGTGGAACCCGGTGCAACTTGGTGCAGTTTCGTGAAATTTGGTGCAGGTTGGTACATATTGGTGTAGTTTGGTGTGACTTAGTGCATATTGGTGTAGTTTAGTGCAACTTGGTGCAGTTTGGGGCAGACTGGTGCAACTTCGTGCATATTGGTGTACTTTGGTGCAACTTGATTGGTGCAGTGTGGTGCAACTTGGTCCAGATGGGTGCATCCTGGTGCAACCTGGTGTATATTGGTGTAGTTTGGTGCAACGTGGTGCAGTTTGGTACAGATTAGTGCCGTTTGGTGCAACTTGGTGCAGATTGGAGCATCTTGGTGCAACTAGGAGCAGTTTGGTAAAACTCGGTGCAACTTGGTGCATCTTGTTGCAGTGTGGTGGAACTTGGTGCAGATTGGTGTAGTTTGGTGCAACTTGGTGCACTTTGGTGAAACTCGCTCCAACTTGGTGCAGTTTGGTGGAACTGGGTGCAACTTGGTGCAGCTTGGTGGAGATTGGTTCAGTGTGGTGCAACCTGGTGCAGTTTCATGAAACTTGGTGCAGATTAGTACATATTGGTGTAGTTTGGTGTGACTTGGTGCAGTGTGGTGCAACCTGGTGCAGATTGGTGTAGTTTGATGCAGTTTGGTGCAACTTGGTGCAGTTTGGTACAGACAGGTGCAGTTTGGTGCAACTTGATGCAGATTGGTGCAACCTTCTGGATTTTCGTGCCACTCGGTGCATTTTGGTGCAGTTTGGTACAGACTGGTGCAGATGGGTGCATTTTGGTGCAACTTGGTGCATATTGGTGTAGTTTGGTGCAACTTGGTGCAGTTTGGTGGAGATTGGTGCATCTTGGTGCAGTGTGGTGCAACTTGGTGCAGATTGGAACAGATTGGTGCAGTGTGGAACAGATTGGTGCAGTGTGGTGGAACTTGGTGTAGATTGGTGCAGTTTGGTTCAAATTGGTGCATATTGGTGTAGTTTGGTGAAACTCGGTGCAATTTGGTGCAGTTTGGTGGAACCCGGTGCAACTTGATGCACTTTGGTATAGATTGGTATAGTGTGGCAGGGCTCGACACTAACGTTTACCCGTTCACCACTGGAAAGTAATATTTCTGAGTGGAAAGTAAAAAAAGCAAATGAACCGAAAATACTTGCCCGATCGGGCAACTACTTCTAGACAATGCGGGAAAGTATTTTTTTTAAACAGCCAAATAAAAAAAAAAAGAAAACGAATGTGTTTAGTTATTACAAGTGAGCTTCCTTGCTAAACGTTTAAGTTTCGCGTTTTTCTATCTCCGCCATCTTGGAATCGTCAGTGACAGATCGAGAAACCCTGGGTACGAAATAGATGATGCAATCGACCTTCAGGGTGGAAAAACGTAATGAGCATGCGTGAACTTTTTTGCCCAGATCCCCTGGCCGGGTTTGAAAAAATGGCGGGATTTCAAAACTTTTTTTGCCTAATAATAAAACGTTTCCACTCTTAACCTGGAAAGAACAAGCAATTTGTCTTCAAAAGTTGTAAGCTGTGGTTATAACCTTCTCATGACTTAATTTTCTCGAAGAATACCTCATAGCAAAACTGACTTTAACGACGTTAATTTCCTTGCGTTGCACTGGAAATGTGCATGCGTAGGTCCGATTTTTTTCAAGATGCATTCACAAAATGTGTTCATATAAGGAAGTTCCTGGATATATAAGGTCCGGAGCTCCACTGTGGACACAAAAACAACATATCTTTGAACACTGATTTGCCCAAAAAAATTAACGCTTGCCCACAATGTGTTTCAAGTCACTGAACTTTGTCGCTCTCGAGCTGATATTTTAAAACCCTCACTCGATCACACACTCGTAGTTTCGCAGATCACTAAAATATAAACAGCATCCTCAATGTAGAAGTTATTGCGTTGATATGTGGGCAGAAAAAAGGTCAATCTTTATCTTGTAAAATCTTCCCAAAAATCGGTTTCAAAGCAACTATAGTTTTTTAAACTTGCTCGTTTCGTGCAGATATATAAATTTTGCTTTGTGTTGTCAAATTGAACACGCATAACATCTGTCAAAAACCTACGCGTATTAAAGTAGGATTTCCTTCAAACAAAGTTAAAGTTACATTATTTCAAAAACTTCTTGCTGACAATGAAGAAATGAATTTTCTGTACGAAAACAACCTACCTAAAGATCTTAAAAGCAAAAGATCAGTTGCAACTTGGCAGCCAAGCCATGATTCACCATTTAGCTATTTTAAACTTAACTGGTCCATGCGAGGGTCTTCGTTTAAGCAAATTAAACTCAGAGGATCATTAGAAAATAAAGAAAATTGTACATAAGGGTTTGTTTTGCTCGCCTCAGTCAAATCTAGCTGCAGCAATTGTTTACCGGAAAAGAATCAATTGTTTTGAAGTCATTGCCAGCAGTTGTCGTTCTCTACTTCACAGCGAGTGAAAAGGACAATTTGCCTGTAGAAAGTTATTCTCATAAAGAACAGAAACTTTCACAGTGCACTGGAAAACAAAACTACGTAATGAAAAATGAAAACAACTCTGACTCGCTATTACTTGAGCAACAGAAAAATGATCCTGAGTAAACTTACTGGCCTTCTATTTCCGAGAAACTTTAATAAGCGCACAAGTTTGTTCAGTCTGATGCGTTATAACAGCAATATGGTTCTTTGACTGAAGACAAAGATAAAGCTGGTTCTGCAAAGGCAATAAATCTGGGCGTGTAAAAAAAGTCAGCGTAACTACTAATAACAAAATACAAGCGGATTTTAATTCAACCCGGCGAAATCAACTCATAAATTAATCGGATGCACAATCAGAAAAAATACTCGCCTCTTGAAATATGTTCAAAACCTTTTATTCTATCTCAGACTGACGGAATGATCCGTTTTTCCTTTAACATTGGTTGTTCTGAATCCAAAGTAATTTTCAAGCGACAAAAAAAAAAGCAAACATGTCAAATAAAAATGCTTTACAGGGAGCAAATGTTCGCACCTCGTGCACTTCACTCAGAACTCTAGCAACAAACAAACACAGTCAACACATAGAAAAGACCGCTTTGAGCCTGCGATAAGGGATGCGCAGAAGCTTGCGCAGAACGTTTTTCCACCCTGAACAATCAACCGTGCTCGCCATTTTGCCTGTCACATGCGGACTAGTAAATAAAACATGAGTGTTTTAAGCGTGCTGGTGAGGTTAACAAAGGAAACTCCGAAAAGATTGATGAAGTTGACCAAGAAAGCAACAAAGGAGGAAAACAGACTGAAAATCAGACAGCTGGAGCATATTCGAAGCAAGCGATGCCACAAGACAAATACAAAGAAAAGAGGAAGATGGTCGGCCGTGGGTTTAGAAAAGAATGGCTTAAGGAGTTTCCATGGCTGCAATACAAGGAAGAACAGAGTCTTAATTTTGTTATGTTTCTATTATGGATAGTGGAAAATATGTTTCTTTCACTTTTGGAAAGTAAAATTTTACTATGGAAAGTAAATTTTCATATCTACTTTCCACAGTGGCAAGTTACGTCAAAAGTTAGTGTCGAGCCCTGCAGTGTGGTGCATCTTGGTGCAGTTTGGTGCAACTAGGTGCAGTTTGGTTTAACTTGGCGCAGATTAGTGCTGTTTGGAGAAACTTAGTACAGATTTGTACAGTTTGGTGAAACTTGTAGCGGATTGCTGCAGTTTGGTGCAACTCGGTGCAGTTTCTTGTAAGTTGGTGCAGATTGGTGCAACTTGGTTCAGTTTGGTGCAAGTTTGTGCAGATTGGTGCTGTTTGGTGAAACTTGGTAGAGATTGGTGCAGTTTGGTGCAGAATGGAGCAGTTTGGTTCAGCTTGGTGCAACTTGGCGCATTAGGCGCAGGTTGGTTTAGATTGGTGCAGTTTGGTGCAAGTTGGCCCACTTTGGTGCAATTTCGTACATGTTGGTGTAGTTTCTTGAAACGTGGTGTAGTTTAAGGTAACTAGGTGCAACTTGGTGCAGTTTGGTTCAGATTGGTGCAGTGTGATGCAACTTGGTTCATTTTGGTGCAATTATGTGCAGAATTGTGCAGTTTGGTGCAACTTGATGCAGATTGGTCCAGTTTGGTGCATGCTGGTTCAGTTTGGTGCAGTTTGGTGGAACTTGGTTCATTTTGGCGCAACTTATTGCAGATTGGTGCAGTTATGTGCAGAATTTTGCAGTTTGGTACATCTTGATGCAGATTGGTCCGGTTTGGTGTATGTTGGTTCAGTTTGGCGCAGGTTGGTGCATGCCTGTGGGGATTGGTGCATTTTTGTGCAACTTGGTGGTTTGGAGCGGGTTTGTGTAAAAAAGTGTATTTTGGTTCACCTTGGTACAAATTATTGCTGTTTGGTGCGGTTTGGCACGGTTAAGTGCATGTTGTTGCATGGTCGTTATGTCATTGGTGCATTTCGATTTGTCTATGTTACAGTTAAAGAATCATTTACTGTTAGTCAAATTGTCAGTTGTCATGTCCTCTCGTAGTTAGTTTTGACTAACAATATACGACTGTTTGACTGTGACAATAGACGGACCGAAACGCACCAATGACATGACGATTCTTCACAGCCAATAACATCACGGCTAAACTGACAGATGACCCATAACATCACGACTTAATTGACCACTCAGGTCAATAACCAGAGTTTAATACCGTCAACTGACGTGACACAACTCAATTTGACTTTGAAGATGACTACTGCACAAGTTGTCGAAACGTCAGTCACTGTTAACTACAACAGTCCTATTCAGGACTACGTTCACCTAGACGATCATACTCAACCTACCTATGAAATGACTTCTGGGTTTAAAATTTTGACAGTATTCATTTTATGTTGCTCAAACTCTTCTCGTGCATCACCATTTAAGGACAACAAAAGGTCTAAAATGGTTTTGATAAAAAAAATCAAATCACCATCTCCCCTCAAGGTTTGGCTCAAATTATTTCAGCGCTATGAAAACGATTTTCACCTGTGGCAATAATTGGTTGGCAATATAACGTTTTTGACTGAAAAAGGTTTGCATTTTTTAAAATGAACCCTTTCAGGCTGCAGCCACGACATATTAGGGAAAACTGTATCAAAACACCTTACACAGGGATTTAAAAGCTCTTGACTTCACGTGCGCTAAACATGTATGATTAGTGCCGCCATGTTCGCAATGTAAGTTACCATTTTTTAGCTTTTAAAATCTTATTGATACGCTTAATACGGCCATGTTCTCAAAAAGGTGGCATTCTATTCGGCATTAGTACGTTAGAATAAGCGCAATAATAATAGCAATCGAATATGGACGCAAGAACAAAGATAACACCAACAAAGAACGACATCGAAAGCATGAACAAAACCTGTGTTAGCCGGGATTACTGATCATTCATTAGTCCAGAAGATTCATAGGAACATCAACAATTTAACCTCATCTCGCTTGTGTACAAAATTGTGCTGAATTGACACAAAATACAAAAACCTCGCGCTCTTGAGTGAAAATGTGCATGCACTAAAAGGTGCCACAGGACAAACTATTAAGTTCCTTTGCAACAACCCTAGCGAAAATTCGTTTGGTTTCTTATGGCTGGTGAATTGTATTGTTTACTTGGTTGTTGTCGCTTTCCTCACACAGAAAGGCGGGGTGACTAGGGTGACTAGGATGACTAGGGTGAATAGGGTGACTTGGATGACTAGGGTAACTTGGGTGACTTTGGTGACTAGGGTGACTTGGGTGACTAGGGTGACTTTGGTGACTAGGGTGACTTGAGTGACTTGGGTGACTAGGGTGACTAGTGTGACTTGGGTGACTAGGTTACTGGCGTGACTTGGGTGACTAGGGTGACTTGGGTGACTAGAGTGACTTTGGTGACTTGGGTAACTAGGGTGACTAGGGTGACTACAGTTACTAGGGTGACTAAGGTGACTTGGGTGACTAGGGTGATTGGGGTGACTAGGGCGACTGGGGTGACTTGGGTGACTAGGTTGACTAGTGTGATTGGGGTGACTGGGGTTACTAGGGTGACTAGGGTGACCTGGGTTACTAGGGTGACTAGCATGACTTGGGTGACTAGGGTTACTATCGTGACTTCGGTGACTGGGGTGACTTGGGTGACAAGAGTGACTTCTGTGACTTGGGTAAATAGAGTAGGGTTACTTGGGTGACTTGGGTGACTAGGGCTACTTGGGTGATTTGGGTGACTATTGTGAGTAGGGTTACTAGGGTGACTTGTGTCAGTAGGGTGACTTGGGTGGCTAGGGTGACTACGGCGACCTGGGTGACTAGGGCGACTAGGGTGACTTGGGTGACTAGGGTGACTAGGGTGACTAAGGTGAGTTGGGTGATTAGGGTGATTGGGGTGACTGGGGTGACTAGGGTGACTTGGGTGACTAAGGTGACTAGGGCGACTGGGGTGACTAGGGTGACTTGGGTGACTAGGGTGATTGGGATGACTGGGGTGACTAGGGTGACTTGGTTGACTAGGGTAACTGGGGTGACTAGGGTGAAAAATATGAAACGGGAATCGGATCCTTTGGTGACTAGGGTGACTACTTTGGTGACTAGGGTGACTTGAGTGACTTGGGTGACTAGGGTGACTAGTGTGACTTGGGTGACTAGGTTACTAGCGTGACTTGGTTGACTAGGGTGACTTGGGTGACTAGAGTGACTTTGGTGACTTGGGTAACTAGGGTGACTAGGGTGACTACAGTTACTAGGGTGACTAAGGTGACTTGGGTGACTAGGGTGATTGGGGTGACTAGGGCGACTGGGGTGACTTGGGTGACTAGGTTGACTAGTGTGATTGGGGTGACTGGGGTTACTAGGGTGACTAGGGTGACCTGGGTTACTAGGGTGACTAGCGTGACTTGGGTGACTAGGGTTACTATCGTGACTTCGGTGACTGGGGTGACTTGGGTGACAAGAGTGACTTGTGAGTAGGGTTACTAGGGTGACTTGTGTCAGTAGGGTGACTTGGGTGGCTAGGGTGACTAAGGTGACCTGGGTGACTAGGGCGACTAGGGTGACTTGGGTGACTAGGGTGACTAGGGTGACTAAGGTGAGTTGGGTGATTAGGGTGATTGGGGTGACTGGGGTGACTAGGGTGACTTGGGTGACTAAGGTGACTAGGGCGACTGGGGTGACTAGGGTGACTTGGGTGACTAGGGTGATTGGGATGACTGGGGTGACTAGGGTGACTTGGTTGACTAGGGTAACTGGGGTGACTAGGGTGAAAAATATGAAACGGGAATCGGATCCTTTGGTGACTAGGGTGACTACTTTGGTGACTAGGGTGACTTGAGTCATATTTTTACAGCAAGACGATGAAGAAGTAAACAAAAGAATAAAACAGAAAAATATATATTTAAACAAATTGTTTAAATATACATTTTTTGTTTTATTCTTTTGTTTCCTTCTTCATAGTCTTGCCGTTAGGATCAGTTTGCCGTTTCATATTTTTCTACAAGTTTAATTGTACTGATCCAGGATTACAACTGGGAGATCAGGCACCACTCATTGGTTTGTTGCTGTGGACTTGCCGACAGTTTATATATTTTGTGATTAGGGTGACTTGGGTGACTTGGGTGACTGGGGTGACTAGGGTGACTAGGGTGACTTGGGTGACTAGGGTGACTGGGGTGACTAGGGTGACTTGGGTGACTTGGTTGATGTGGGTAACTAGGGTGACCTGGGTGACTAGGGTAACTTGGCTGACTGGGGTGACTAGGGTAATGTGAGTGACTTGGCTGACTTGGGTGAGGGGTGAGGAGATTTGGAAAATTACTTAGTACCTCTGGAAAAAAAACTAGTTACACCTGTAGATACTATGTGAGCCACCTTGAATGACAAATGCACATGATCTTGATGGACAATTGAATTGTCAAAATGTGGCATAGCTTTTGCACTCCTTGTTGAACATCAGCCAGTGGCATACAAGGGCAGTGAGAAACATTGCACTTATCAAACCACACTTTCGGTTTAAATTATACACCGTACTCAGGCAAAGGTGAAATTCTTCAACATCAGATGTGTGTTTTTGTGCATCACATTCTTTACTCCCCAGGTACAAGGTGAAGCATAGTTAGTAGAGGGTGTGAGATTGAACATTATATTGGTTCCCCTGTGATGCAGACGGACGGGTGTGTGGGCGGTGTACAGTCACGTGATTACCAAATTTTCTGGGATGGGTAGATTTACCCATGCTCTGGAGCACCAAGAGCTCTGCTAAGTACAAGCAATGCCCAGGGTTTGCTGAGGGTATGTGGTGTTGAAGTTTTGGACTGATGTATAATGCTGAAATCAGGGCTGCTAACAGCCAATCAGAATAGAGAATCTTGTTACAGTTGTGATTATCCATGTGAACTATAAAGTTGAGGTGTCTGTGGTGCCAGCTGATTACTGTGTTGTAATGCAGCCAATTACTGTGAGTTATTGTAATTTAGGGCATAGCTCTCAGGAAGAGCACTGTAAAGAAGAGATACAGTGGGTAAATAAAGCTTTGATCAATTGACTGATTGACTGTTAATACGGTAATCGGCTGTTACTAGACACCTTAACAATATAACTTTTTCTCAGTTCGAGAAAAACCTTTACTAGCCAAGGTATAACATATATAATATTACTTCACTAACTATAGAATTCAAAAGTAGGTTGAGTTTGATCGTTCGGTTTAACGTAGTCCTAAATAGGACTTTTGTTGTTGACAGTGACTGAGGTTTCAACATTACGATCGACAACCTGTGCTGTAGTCATCTTCAGAGTCAAAGTGATACCAATAACATTACAGCTTAACTGACCAATCAGTAACCAGAGTATAATACCATCCACTGACATGATACAACTCACTTTGACACTGAAGATGACTACCGCTCAGGTTGTCGAAACGTCAGTCACTGTCAACAACAACAGGCTAGTCCTATTCAGGACTACGTTCACCCAGGACCTCAACAATCGATGAAAAATGGATGATCGGAAAATCAATCGATCAATCAATGACAGTCGATTAATTACTGTTGATTAGCATCGATTGGCATCAGCCAATCGATGATCAATCGATAATCACATTTAGGTGGTGGCGAACTTCATTGATTGCCATCAATTGGCACTAGATTCATGTCTCCGTATCTTCAGGTATCGTGGGAGTGTCCGCCGATCATATATTATTTTTAAACCTCATTAGCAAAGGTTGAGAATTGTTCATCGATGTGGCTCCATGAAAAACAGCACAAATGATTAAGACAATTAACATATCTCGTTGTCAGTAGTACAACTTGATCAGTTTAGCTTCGAGTTCATTGCAAAGATTCAACTGACCTGGGACGCAGTCGTTGTTCAAACAAGATGAAGCTCATAGTCATTTCTTTTTCTTCTTCTTTCTTAATATGTCTGTGCAGACGCCCATGTAACAGAAAATTAATGTGTGCATTAAATTTAATATATTTTATGAATACTTAGCTAAACTGTTGGCTCCAAACGTTACATCACGAATAAAATATTTCACACCTTGCCTAATTTGCCAGCTGTTTCGTTGAAGCATAACAGTGGGTTTTTTTTTTACACACAAATCCGTAGTACGTTTCTATGAATTTTAAACTCGTGTGAAACGTGTGGGCAAATAAACAAGTTTACGCACTGTTACTTGCTAGTTTTTACTCAAATAAAAAGCAATGATATCAAAATGTGTGACTTTATTAGTACTCGATGAAATTGACAATTGAAATGTTTGACTGAATAGGTAATCAATTGATATTGCATATTGTTAACTGATCGATTCCCATCGATTATCAATTGATATTAATAATTGATGATAATCAATAATCACAAAAATTTTCGTGTTCGATTGTCCATCGATTACCAATATCAATCGATTAATTGATATCGATTGTCATCGATTGTTATCGATTGCCATCGATTATCGATTTTATCGATTGTTCAGGTCCTGGTTCACCTGGACTATCAAAATCAACCTACTTTTAAAATGACTCCTGGGTTCAAAATCTCCAGTTTTAACTATAAAATATTACCTTTTAATCTCCAAAGCTGAGCCCTGTTGTTAAAGCAAGATGAACGAGACGGACATATCTCGCAAGCTTCGTTAAAACACTCAAGTGCTCCATCGAGATTTCCCTGCTCTGCCCTATCGACACCCATCGCTTCAAGCTCCTTCGCTCTTAGTGAATCCTCTCTGTTTTCTTCATTGATGTCATTTTCATTCTTAGGCGGTCTTTGAGGAATATCACCAAGGGGAAGCAAAGGATTAAAAATACTTTCTAAAACGGCTTGATCTTTCTCGCTGGTCGCCATTTTGTTTATCCAGCCTCGTTCCCAGGGTATCAAGGCCCTTGGCCCCACCCCTGGCGGACAATCTTTCACTCGTGATGGCTGCCCCTGGTTCTTGGTTAACCCAGATTTTGCACTCAAGGTCCCGTTTTTCTTTCATACTTGTCTGTTTCAATCGCTTTACTTTAAACTGGACATCGTTCTGTGCTCTCAAACGATACCCTTGGCCGCCATCGATACCTCGCGAGAAAGGACGAGTGAGCAAATGGGATGCCCCCAAATGGGATGGTAAACGCCCCTCCCGTCCCGGTGCCCAGTTTGAACTGAGCCCCAAGTCTATCACTTTCATCCCGTTTCCCCTGCCTTGCTCTGTCAGCAGAGCGTGTGTCTGAAAAACAGTGCATTTTATCGGCTATGGACAATTCAATTAGAGTCAATTTTCCTCCTGTTTCACTTAAGGTAAGAACTGACTCTATGTTTTGTCGGTTGATGCTGTTTTTGCCCTCATTTGTGAGCTGGAGGTCCATATAAAAGCAGGATCATTTCGTTACAGTGCTAAACCTATCGTTTCTGTTTTCTGTTTTTTTGTTTGTCATGTAAATTATTTCCTTTGTTAAACGGCTATTGTTTTATTTCTAGATTGTTGTTGCTGTTCATTTCGTTTTAACAATTTGGTAAGTTCTCTATCAGCTATTTTTATTTGCAACAAAATTTAGGAAAGCCCGTAAATCATGTGACATTTTGGGGTTAATAAATCATTGCTATTTTGATATCGTGATCATATGATATTACAGTATTTGTTGCTTTATTGTGCACTTTGTCATCATTTTCCTTTTTTTATAAATTGATATGTATTTTATTATCACAAATATGATCGCTTCAAGGTAGCCTACAAAGCGGGCGTATTTTGCAGGGCGAACGATTTGGACGTAGAACTGATGGGGAGTTAGGGCGAGTCAAAAAATGATTCCAAGAGAGAGGTTGATGGGTCAAAACAGGGGAGGGGGAGGGGAGGAAAAATATGCCTGCACACAGCCATTGTTCATTGGCGAACGCTATACACCGGATAGACAGGGGCTCTGATTGGTGGGGTGTCGGATGCCAACATTTTGATGAATTAAACAAGATGGAATAAGCGTTATAAAGTTTGAGGCAGCACAACTTCACTTTTTAAGTAACATTTTCGTAGCCCTTGCCGTCATTGTTGCTTAAGCTCCCTAATGATGATCAAATTCTCTCCCCCGCTCAGGGCCTTACAACAGCAGAGCCTGGTGGCTCGTGGTACCAGACATTTGCTTTTGGTTACTTTTGCCATCTTTTCTTGATATTGTTTTATTACTTATCATTGCTCATGCATTATATTATTATCATTATTATTATTATTATTATTATTTATTATTATTATTATTATTATTATTATTATTATTATTATTATTATTATTATAATCAAGAAAATGATAGATATAGCCATTAGAGGAACATATTACATCTTTTGTTGTAGGAACTGGGATAGCCCAGACTTATGCAATTTTGATGTCTTTTTTTTTTTTTTTTTTTTTTTTTTTGGTTTTTTTTTTTTTTTTATTTTTAACAATCCAATCTCAAGTAACATTTGTAAATAGCCTATACGTATGTATATGTACATTCAAAAACAGAAATAAACTTTCCATTATTATTATTATTACAAGTGATACCAGTAAAAGTAAATTAAAATTATTTTACACTTTATAAAGCTTCCAGTTTAAACCTTAAAATAATTTAATCAAAAAGGGTCAGCTTTTCTGTTTTTCTTAGGTGCGGCATATTTATACAACAAAGTCACGGTTCGAGGTTGTCCGCTATAGTGAGAAGTGATTCCATTTGCTTTTATTGAAATGGATGGATGAAAATTGATCACTGTTTTTGATATAAAAATCATGCCCAGTTTAAACATACAAATCATGTCAAAGAAAAGGAAAATCAATTATTACTGCTGATTCTTAAGTTGTGGCACAAGCCGATTAATAAAATGGATTTAAAAAGAGAGATACGAATTACTCTTACTGAAAAGAAAACAACAACTTAATAACAGCCTGCAAACCACTAAGCTCAGAAACTTAACATGTTCTAGGCTCCTTTCAAATGTGGAATTTCTTATGACAGGGCTCGACTTTCAGAAAAAACTCCTTGGGGCCAGCTGGCCTCCAAGTTTTCATTTTTGGTCGCCAGGACAAGTATTCTAGTCGCCAAAAATTGTTTATCTTCAAGAAAAAATAGAGTACAATATACTAAAGGTCTTTTAATAAACCTCAACAAAATCATCAACATAAAGTTACAGAAAGTGAATCCTGAATACAAGAGAAGACCTTCTACAAAACAGGCTACATAGCCCTTACAATAGCACTTGTTGTAAAATTCATTTTTGTGTATTTATGTATTCCGTTACCATTAGAAACAGATAGCTAACGAATACCTAACGGCTTTTCTACCACTCTAACGGTTTGTTCTAACGCTCCAACGGATTGCTCTTACAATCTAACGGTTGATTCTTAACAGCTAACAGTTGGTCCGTCTAACATTTGACTTTAACTTTATTTGCAAGAGAAAATCACCAGTGATGAATTGAAGTCAACTTCCGTCAAAATTAATCCGGCAAATCGATAAGAAGGTCACAAATATCTTGGGGGCCAGCCTGGAGACCAGGCGTGAAAAGTTGGTCGCCACTGAATAAAATCTAGTCGCATTGGGGACCCCAGGGGTCGCAACGTCGAGCCCTGTATGAGTGCCGAACACCTATTTTAGTCGATCAAAGTAATTAAATAGGGCAGTTGATTCAGACGTCAAATATGATGGTGCCAAATTTAACTTCATTTGTTGTAAATATTTCCAGTCTCTAGAAAAAGTTTTTGTCCAATTTGGATAAGGGTTTCTCAGAGTTGTCAGAAAGTTTTGAAGTAGACGGCTAAGTTGTCAAAGTAAGCGGCCAGTCCAGGGATATTTTATTTAAAAAATGCCATCCGTAAAGAATGCTAAGCTGAGTGGCTGGCCAATACTAACCAAGTAGGTGGCAATTTTCATCGGCAGCCAGCAACTTTTGATGCATTATATTCGGCACATGTGAAATGCGACTCCTAAATCAAAATGATGTTGAATTTAAGTTGAATTTTCAACTGTTTCAGTCGCAGAGTTGACAAAATCGTATTAAATTTGAAACTGTCAAATTGAGTTGATTCAGTCGTCCCTTCTCAAAGCAGTTACCTCTCAAATTAAGTTAGGCACATCTGAAAATCGACAATTGAGCTAGGTAACAGCGTCCAGTATTACTAAAAATACCGGTAGATACGCTATGGTACATACAGCATTTTTCATATTCCTGTAAACTTTGCTTTCAATTTACCACATTATGTTACTAGCTATATACATCACACAGGTAAAAAAGAGAGAGAAAAAAGATTTTAAAAAAAGAAAAATAATAAGTTTACAAAAATTGGCGTCAAGGGGATTCGAACCCAGACCCTCAGAATCAGTTAGAACTAAAAGTTAATGCCTCTCACTATCCACAGGAGCACCCGGGTAAATTCTGACAATTTGAGTGTAAAAGAGGTATATATATTCCTTCTCTATATGGTGATTGACGGTTTTCCAGGATGACTTTTTGGTTTTTTTTAAATTTCCGTGTGGAATTAAATCTTCAACTGATCGAAGCTAGATGTAAAGCTCACTATTAACACATTAAAATACTCTTTCAGGCTTGGTCCATGCCGGGGAACGTTTAAGAAATTTATGAGCCATCGATCAAGCTCGCAGCTACCGACTGAACCGTATGACCGTACAATTCTCTCCCTGCTTGTGAGGTTATCGGTCAGGGGAAACATTAACACAACATTGTTCATCATTATTTCCATTGTTTTAGGTTACAGTAGCAAATCATTTGGCTTTTAGGGTTAGAAGAGTTGCTACGTGACCTCTCTTCCCGGAATGAAGAAAAGCAATATGGCCGCCTAGTACATCCTTTTAGAGACAATACAGTGTAAAGAATTGTTGAGAAAAACAGCCAAAGCTTGCCAATTTATGACACAAAAGTACTTTAAAAACGAACTAAAACATTCAAAACACTTTGATCTCGTAACTGATGACGTCATGTCCCTCTTTTGGTCATGAAAAAAATCATCAGGTAGAACATTATTTTCCTGCAAATTTTCTCTGCCGTGTGACCAAAGGTTGACTCTCTACAGCCCTCGGCCTATTCTCCCTACTTTCTTGTTCATGTTCATTACCCCCTTAAATTTTAAGTGCCGGAAGTCAACTGGTTATTTTTAAATGCCCTACACAACAAAAACCTCAAATATACTATTTGTTTTCAACTCGTTAATGAAATCTTTCTCACAGCAACAAAAAACCTAATTCTGAAATAGTCACATGACTGATGAGGTCATTACCTTAGATGTGACATGGAAGATATTTTATGGCAAATGTTATCCTGTTGTGGTCTGACAGTCTTCTACATATAGAATTGTCAAAGTTATAATTTATAAAGCTTTATAAATTGCCTCATGCAGAGGAGAGATTTTTTTTATGATAATTATAATTTACTTTTATAATTATTATTATATTTCAAGCATTAACTGTTAATGAATATTTTATTCCATTTTATTTTTGCAAAGGGGAGATCAGATAGGATGGCTACCTGGCTCATATCTATTTTGTAATTTGTTGGTATTGACAGTGGGGGTCTGGGCTATAGCTTCACCAACAAATGAGGACGCATCTCAAATGGTAATTGCTTATTGTAAATCCCTTTCACTCCTGCAGCGCATAAAAGTAGAACAATTTTCATTTCTTATGCTGTAGCTCTTTTGCACACTTGGGGTATGCTAAGATTTTTGGGAAAAATAATTTCTGCATTTATGAAGAAGTGCAGAATAGGTGTCAGCATGTTTTCATCCCTGAGGGAAGGAGGGAGGGGCAAAAAACGAAAGAATGAATAGAGCTCTCAGACCATGGACACAAAAGACATTGAATTGATGATATATTATAAATACCAATCCCAGTACCTAGGGGTGATATGAAAAAAAATCACAAATTTAAAATAACGTTCAAATTTGTTTGTTGTGAAATCTTTAGATACAGTATAAATACCTCTTATTAGCCGAGTTTTTGGTCCGTACTGTAAATTACGGACCAAGTTTTTTTCCATCGATTTATGGCCCAAGCGCGAAGCGGGTGGGCCATAAATTGATGGAAAAAAAACAAGGATCCGTAATTTACAGTACGGACCGAAAAAATGAGGCTAATTTAAAGATGTTTATTATATGGCTTCCTCCAGTTTGGGGGACCGGAAACAAGTGCATAGGATGCGCAATTTGACAATCATTTGACAGGCGTCAAGAAAGAAAGTTTTTATTGGCTCGCGAAAACAATAGCACACAACAAAGGGTTTCCGAGAAAGTGAAAACAAATTTGCCGTGTTGAAAAAGTTTATTTGGTCAAAACGAAAAGCGCTGTAAGTTTTAGCTCTTCAATGTAATGCTGGAGAATTTTGGAAACCGGGCACTGTGTCTTTCTCGAAGTCGTCTCCATCTTTCCTCCAATGGTCTTTGTAAAAAAAAAAAAGACACTGCAAAAGGCAAAGAAGCTTTTCAAGGTAAGTTTGTTGTCATTGTCGAAGGACTTGCTCGATAATTTTTTGGGCAAAACCTCTCGAACTTCTGCCAGTCCATTCCCGTCTTCAAGCGTGATCTGCGTTAAAATTTTCAAACACGGACCGTATTTTCTTCCACGGAAAGGTTAAGATTCAGTTTCTACATCAGCTCCGTTCTCATTCAAACAAAGCTAGGTTAAAATCTGGAAAGGCAAAGTCAACATCCCAGTCCTCAGGGTTTACAGACATATTTTTAAGTATATTCGGTCAAAACTAAGAGCACTGTAAGTATTCACTTGCCAATGTGACGCTGGAGTCTTTTGAAAGCTGGACATTGTGTCTGGCTCGGAATCGCTTCTATCTTTCTTTCGTTGGTCTTTGGAAAAACACTGCAAATGACAGAGAAGCTCGTCAAGATGATCGGGTGCAGGCATGTTTGTTATCATATTTGTCGAAGGAATTACTTTTTCTCTTACATCTCGAATCTCTGCCAGTCGATTTTCGTCTTCTTAACTGTGAACTACAATAAAATTTCAAACACTGACTAGAATCCTCTTCGATAAGATTACGAGTTAGTTTCTTCATCACCTTCGTTCACAAATAAACACAGTTTAAAATGTTGAAGGACAAAGTCAAAATCTAAGTCCTGACAAGGTTGATAGACGTCTTGTAACTTAAGTTTAACCTTTTTTCCGAGGTAAAGAGATTTAGAGCTTCGAAATGAGCTTTTTCTTTGAAATTTTGGTTCGTATAGCAAGTTACGGACCGCAAATTGACCAATCGCATGGCGAAAACAGACTCATCCATATAATAAGGAGAATTATGTAGAAGACATGCCAAAGAAGAAGGTTTCATTTAAATGGTAACTCAACAGAACTTCATGCCCTGTCTTAAAAAGTTAGAGAGACAAGTTATTTCACCTTAAAAGTATTAAATGGTCTAGTTGTGGAAGGGTCAGTAACTTTAAATGCGGAATACAATGATATAATCAGTTTTCTATTATGCAGCATTGATGATCAAAGAAATACTATGTAATTTTTTTAGGCAAGTTCTGAGTGGGCTAAAAGGATTTTACTTAGTACTCACTTGAAAATTAATAATGATTATATAAAAGTCAGGATTGTGGGGTAAAGAATTAAGTGAAAGAAGATCAAAGAGTTATAGGTGCAACTTTTGCAGTTGCGAAAAGAACTCCTAACAAAATCAGCCTCCAGTGTACAGTGTTCAAAGTCTTGACCTTTGTGTCATATTGGTGCCGCACTCTACCAACGAGAGCTCTAACAAGCCAACTGCTGGGAGCAGGTCCATCAGTTGGTTTGTCATGGACCCACTCCCATGAAAGGATGGTGAGGAAATAATGAATACAGTCGTAGCTCTTATAAGCAACCACCTCGGAAATTTGAGAAAGTGGTCATAACTAGAGCTGGTCGTTTACGAGAATGAGCTCTTGTAAGCAGCTGCATGGTAAA